TTAATGGCTTGGGCCGTGTATCAACGGTCAATCTACGGTAGAAGGTTCCGTCGGAACAATTATTTATTTCAAGGTACCTCGTCTCTTTTTTTTTTGGCGAAAAGGAAAAGAGGAAGGGGGGGGGGGGTGAGGAGACAGTGGAGACTGAAGCTATAGAGGTTACAGGGGAAGAGAACACTAAGAAGGGGAAGGTGGGTATTGATTAGCTAGTGGACAGATAGGTGGCGATTGGGAAGTCTCTTGGCCTCTTTTTTCTAGGGGAAAGAGATGGAAGTAAATGGGAAGAATATAACAAAATGAAAGCAGTTGGGGAAGGGGGTGAGATATGGGAGGAAGGAGAAGGGAAGGAAGAAGAAATTGTTGAGGAAGAGTGAAAGGAGGTTAGGGGAAAATTAATAGGGAAGGGCGAGATGGCTGAAAATTTAAGATGGAGTTGGTATCCGGGCATGTCTGAAGATTGAAGAGAATAAAGATGAAGGAGGTTGAATGGCTGCAGGTTTTCTTGGTCAAATAGGCAAAGCTGGCAAAGCAAATAAGCAACTAAGCAAGATGATCGTTTGGGGTCAACCTTGGGTAGTTTGGGGCTCAAATTTGTATTTTGGATGACTTTATCTTGATTGGCCTATGGCGAATTGTATTGCTTTAGCTTGTTTGGAGGTGTTGCCTTAACATCTGTTTAAGATTGTATCACTGTTTTCCTTTTAATGAAAATTTCTTTTACTATCAAAAAAAGTTTACAAATAATTTTGAAAATTATCTTCTTTGTGTCCCATGATCACTTACCTACATTTCATAATGAATACAATTTAGTTTCATATCTTATTTCAGTTTATTTGTCCTTTAGTAAATAAGTCCTTAAGTAGGTTGTGAATTCCTTAATGGATGAATAACATGTTATGCTGATTACAATTTTACGCATTAAAAGACAATGCAATAAATCACTCAGCTCAATCACTACAGTGTTTGTCAAATGGCCCCTCAGATTCTTAGTTAAATATTTCTTGTCAATATCTTATTTATATCACAGTTTACTGTTTTGTGATATGTAGATGGTCGTATATATGATGTGATTTTACTCTTTATGCAGAGCTCCTGTAGTAAACCAGAGACAGAAAACAAGAGTCTGCAGAAAATAGGGGAGTCTCTTGAAATTGAAAATAAGGGTTTTCCCAAGGAAACTGATTTAAAATTAGAGAAGCATGAATATAACATGGTGACAGAATCATCAATGCTTGATAAGGGCAAAGCAGAAGGTAATCAATTTTGTTTGACTTAGTATTTATTACATAGGATCAAATAGATATTATAGTATCTGATAATTTCTGCTATTTCAGATAAGTCAACAGGGGTAGAAGTCAAAGTAACTCTGTCCATCCAAGGAGCTGCTTCAAATAAAAGGATTTGGGAGAAGAATGTTTTTTATGCTGGATCCCCATGCAGAGAGGAACAACCAGTTTCCTTGAGAAATAAAGAGGGTGCACATAATGATCCTGTATCTCTTGATCAAACTGAGGGAACAAATGAGCCTTCAAAAGAGGTTATTGATTTCATTGGGGCAGCAACTGCTCAGCAGTATAGTTGTTCAGTATTGGGCAATAATGGCCACAAAGAGGTTATTTTGTCTGAAGCTGCAAAAACCTCAGATGTAAAGAGTAGCATAAGTAATTCTGGCTCCTTGCCTTTATGGGAGCTTTCTTTAAGGAGGTCACAATTTAAAGGCCAGGATGAGGAAGTCTTTCAGGAAAAGCATGTGCTGAATCACTCAGATGCATCACCATTTTCAAGGTGAGTTTTCTATCTTGAATATCATTATCTACTAGAACTACTTTGGCCTCTTTTTATTAAGTGACTAATGTGGATTTAAAGAAAGTTGAGTTTGCATTTCTAGTGGAAAATATTTATTTTTTTATGATTTACTATTACTGTGCTTGCATCCATCTTAGCAACAGTTGAAAAAAAATTAGAAAACATGATATGGTGTTCTCTTTACTGTCTATATTTTAAGAGAGTTGTAGCTGCAAAAAGTTTAGTTCTTAATTCTGTAGATTATATAACTTATAATGATTGCTTATGTGCTTGGCTGTTCATACTTTTGTAGCAGCTTCTGTTAATTTCTTGATCCTTTCAGCGCATGAGTACCCTACAACTTTTGTATGTGACTTTTATTTTATGTCTGGGATCAAGTTTCAAAAATTGTAAATAAATATTTAAATTTTGAGAACTACAAACTGAGAAACTAGAACTAGAACTAGAACAAAGAAGGAAATTGTACAAACATGAAGCTAGGGAAATTAAATAATTAACAAATAACTGGGAAGGGAAAACTAGAAAGGATATCTGGAGCTGCATCTTTCTCCTTGAACCATGTAAGGATTTGAATTGTCTCTTGCACAAAAGCATTAACAAGGAATGTAGAGTCATGCTACATGTTTCAAGAGAACTCTGGAGGCAAAATCCTCTCTTTTTTTTTTGCATCAATAAAATCCTCCCAGTTTTTCAGCCAAAGAAAAGAGAGAAAATTCTGTCTCATTTATGATGTTCATCTTTTGATGTCTCTCCTAAAACAAGCTCTATATGTATTGCAATTCAAATATGAAGTATGCAAGTATGACAAAACATCTTTAGGCAATTTTTGATTGCAGAGAGAACACATAAATCTAAAAGAAATACTAAAAGAAAATATCACCTTTTCCAACCAGTTTGCCAAGAAACTGGTCAAGAGACATTTCAAACTTTGTACCATTGTGGATACAATATGTTTTGCAAAATCTCATGGTGGTTGATATTCTCAGTTATTTTATTAAGAAATCTAAGAGTATGAACTTGCTGAAAGGATTTGAGGCAAGGTTCAAAATTTCGATATGGTATGCCCCGTATCGGGCATATCATATCGTATCTTTTGGTCCCGAAACACCTGTAACGGGTGTTTCGGGACCCCACTCTTTTTTAATAAAAAATACCTGTATTTAACTCCCCAAAAACCAAATTTTGAAAAAAAAACTAAAATAAAATGTTTCCGCGTGTATCTAAGTACCAATACACCTCTGCAAATGCACAAAGGTGTATCGATATTTTGAACCTTGATTTGAAGTGGGAAGGGAAGCAACTCAAATATAACATTTACAATTTTCAGATGATATTATAATGTGCTTGGAGGCTGATTTGGAGAATATTACCAATCTGAAATGGGTGATCCAATGCTTTGAGATGGTGTCTGGTCTTCAAGTAAACTTCTACAGAAGTAGTTTTGTGGGAACGAACACAAGTGATAATCTTGTGGACAGATTTAAGGAGGTATTAGGTTGTAAAGTGCAGAAGTTTCCCATTCCTTATTTGGGGATGTCTCTTGGAGGGAACCCAATGATCCAAAGTTTTTGGGACCCGGTGGTGGAGAATGTGAAAAACAGTTGGCTACATGGAAGAAAAGTGGGGCAGGCTCACTTTAATAAAGGCTCGTCTGTCCAACTTGCTAATTTACTATTTCTCTATGTTCCAAATCCAAGTTAAATTTAAATATCAAATTGAAAAACTCCAAGGAAATTTTTTTGTGGGATGGGGATGTTAAGAAGAAAAATCACTAAGTTGGGAGCAGGTTTGTGAACCTAAGAAAGTCAAAGGGCTTGGCATTGGGCACATCAAGGAGAGGAACATACCTATTCTTGGCAAATGGTTGTGGTCCTTGTGGAAATACCCTCTTGAACCTGGTTCTCCCTGGTCATTAGTGGAAACAGGAAAAATGCTAATGGTTGGGATAGCAAAGTCCACTCAAACCGAGCGAAAGTAACCAATCCCTAGAAAGGTATTTCCTCTACAACATTGTTTCTTTCATTAGATATAAAGTGGAGGGAACAGAGTCAAAATATGGATGAAATTTTGGTGGGGTGAGAGTACCTTGGCCGATTCCCACCTCAGTTGTTTAGCCTTTTCCAAACCCAATAAGCCACTATTTCCTCTTGCTTTCCTTCACATCATGAAACCTACTGGAACCTAAGCCTTAGAAGAGCCCTAAGGGATGTAGGGGTTGCTCAAATTGCAGACTTGCTTCATTCCCCAAGTGAGGTCTACATCTCCCTTCTAACCCCAAACCAACACATATGGAAACCTCATCTTGCTGTTAAATTCTCATTAAATCCTTTTTCAGGGCCATATTGTTGGGAGCTCATGATACAAGCTTCCTGTTTAAGAAAATTTGGTGTTCCCATACTTCTCCTGGAGTATCTTTTTCTCTTCTTGTTTTTTTTTGGTATGGGAAACCTGCTTAAAGAGAATAAACACTTGTGATCTGTTACAAAGGAAGAACAAGGGCAGGTTATGTATTTGGCCTTGTGTGTGCATCCTATGCCTTAGTGATGGTGAACCTGTTGAGCATCTACTTCTCCATTGTCCAAAAACAATGAAAATTTGGCTCCACTTTCTCAACCTTGTTGGTTACAATTGGGTTGCTTTTGAGCATATTGTGGAGTTCCTATGGTAATGACATGGTAGAGGTCTTGAGGAAAGGAAAAATCTACTATTGTACGCACTGTACGGTGGTGGGTCAGGCAGTGATGTGTGTGAAGAAATAAATAATCATATTTTTTGAAAATAAGGCTAGATCCTATGAAGATTTGGTTTCTCATATAACCTATTGTGTAATTTGTGGGTGGTTAATTTATTGGAATTCAAAGGAATATCTGTGAGTGACTTGCAAGGGAATGTGGTGATCTTATACTCCTCCCCTAAAGCCTTAAGCATTCTTTGGGGGTCATCCATCAAGGGAGGAGGTGGTGATGATATTAAAATTTGATGGAAGTTCTTTAGGTAATCCGGGTGAAGGTGCAAGGCAAGGGACTTTTAAGCTGTGTTTGGTTTGAAAGAAAAGGTAGGGAAACCTATACAATGTTTCTATAGGTTTCCCTACCTTTCCCTACCTTTTCTTTCAAACCAAACATAGCCTTAGGGACAATTTGTTCTTGGATGTTTTGTGACTTTGAGATATATCTGTGGGGTCAGTGCCCTTGTCTTGGATAGTTGACAGTTGTACCCTGGTTATGTTCTCATTTAATGAAAGTCGCCATTTCCAATAAAAAACCAGGTGAAGGCGTGAAGCTGGGATTGTAGGTGTGATCAAGGGAAGATATGGAAGTATTTATTGGGCGTTTATGGATTGGGACTGCTGACTCTACAAAGTTATGGTATAATCATAGTTACCTCTTTTCAAAAAAGAAAAAGGTTTTGCAAAATCAATCTTCAAAGTTATGGTATAAACACTGGTCATGTGCATTTTCTTTCACATTCTATTCTCTCTCTCTCTCTCTTCCTGAAAAGTGGTAAAGATTTCTGTAAGAGGGTGAGAAGCTTGCAATACAAAAAGGTCCCTATATATGCACAGCAGCATTTACATTCAGCTTGCAATACAAGAATCAAAAACTCATGGAGAACCTATTGTCGGTGAAATAACTAGATGGAGTTCCCTCAAAAAGCTTAGAACTGCTGCTCGTCTCTTCAAATTCCATTCCACTTTACTAATAACAGCTTCAACTGGAGCAGATTTAGATTCAAAGATTCTGAAATTCCACTCCTTCCAAAATACAAACTTCCCAACAGATTGCAAAGGGCAAGCAATTCCACAGGAGATTCCCTCTCTCAGAGAAAGAACCACATCTCCAGTAAGAAAGCAACTTAGAGAAAGTGGGTGGAAGGGCCCAATGCATCTGAAATAGCTAAAAGAAATGGCACCAAATCTGATGAGTAAAAGAACAACGAAGCAATAGGTGATGAATAGATTCTGACTGTGCATCACAGAGTCAACAAACATTGTTCAGTGCCATGCCCCATCTCACTAAAGCTTCAATTGTTTGAATCCTATCTCTTCAAGCCAGACACAAAAAAAATGAAATAAAAAAACACTTTGTAGGTACCTTGGACTGCCAAATCCATAACCAGCCAACCTTTACAAAGGGATCCAACAAAGCACAAATGCAGGACTTGGTTGAAAAAAATCCCATTCTTCTCCCCGGTCCACAGTTGAAGATCTTCAGACCCTGAAGCAAGCTCTACCTCATGCAGCCTGCTCATCAGGTCCAGCCAAGAAGGGACCTCCCAATCATTCAAATTCCTCCGGAAGCTAGGAGACCAGACCACATGACCATTAAACAACACCACAAAATTACTGACAGCTCCTTCCTTGTTAGAAGAAATTGCAAAAAGGGCAGAATCCAGCTCACATTCTATTCTTCATAGATTTTGAGGAAAACATCATTTTAAGAAACTAAAGAGTGTAAGAAAGTTTTGAAGTGGGCCTTGTGCAATTTATCAATCCAACCAAACAGATGTCAGTTTTTCTTCAGAGAGAATTTTCTTTTCTCAGTTTCTGTTTCTTTAATTAGAAACCAAATACAACTTTCACAAAAACTAAGGTGGTTTCTAAATTTCTAGTTTCTACCCCACTTCTAAAGAGACATGGAGAATCAACAATGGCAGAACTGGTAGCAACCTTGCAGCAATTGAGAATTGAAAGGCTCCTCAGTTATAGGGATCTAGAGGTGGATTGAGAATAAAAGGTGGTAGTAAACTGGATACAAAAAATAAGGTCCATGGAAGTATAGGCACATAATGAGAGAGGTGCAGCATTTGGCTATGGAGATAATATGCAATTGGGTTCAAAAATCAAACAATAGCCTAGCTGATAGCAGCCTTGCAGTTATGCACTTTCAGCTGTTGGTCAGTTTTGTCCTAATTTTCCATAATTTGAAAGTTCTCAACTCCTACAAATGTAAAACTAAAAACCTCTCATACCAATCTGGATAAATTCTTTGGATTTCTTTTGGTATTAATCTAAATTGAGTTTGTCAATCATTCCACTTGATCAAGAATTTACTCTCGTCTTTCTATGTTGAAGCAGTCTATCTTTAGAGAAGAAAAAATCTTTCTTCATGTTATTCGTTTTCATTGGAATATTCATTTTTAGTAGTGCATTGAATGATATTTTGATAGAAGGTATACTTTTAGATCTTTGTCATTGAAAATCAAACCAACATTTACATATCAGGCAATTGCAAAGATTAGTATTAGAACCCAAATTCTTGAGAACTTTGTACAGAACTGACCTCAATGGTGAAGCTTGTTATGTTTCCCTTTAGAAAATCTGCCCAACCTTAGCATCATTGACTATCAGACTGATCTTACATGTCAGGTAATTGTAATAAGCGGTGTTTTAAAAAGCATTGGAGGAGCCCCTCCCACCAAGGTGCACTAAGAAAACACCTAGAGGTGCAAGCCTAGAAGCGTATAGACCCTTGAGGCGTACACCTCCAGTATAGAGGCATATGAACTGTACACCTGTATTTTGCTTTATGCTTCATATATTTAAGCCAATTTTTATAATAAAAATGTTATAGATAAAAGTGGGGGAACCATTTTATCATGTTCCCCATTATATATTAACATAATGCAGAGGATGAAAATCCCCCAAATTTGTTTATTGTAACATTATCAAAATGCCATTGTATGGATTTGCTGGCTCGTGGGGCCTTTGCCTCCATACCTCCACTAGGGGGCACATGTCCCCCTGGACCCCAAAAACTATCCATAGCACACTATATATGAATCCAGCCACATAAGACCATACCAGCAAAATATAAAGCATCTAGACTACAGTTACCACACTTATGCCTCCTCGTGCTTAGGAAGCTTACACCTCTTGCATTCTGAACTATGTGTCATGCCTCTGAGTAGTCATGTCTCTGCATTTTGAAACATTGGTAATGCCTTAGAACCAAACTTCTTCAGAACTTTGCATTGGAACTGCCTTCATCGGTAAATTTCTTTAGAAAATCTGTGCATCCTTAAGATCTTTGAAATCAAAGGTGCCTCAATCTATCCTGACATATGATCCAAGAAAGAATAAGTGTGAAAAAGAAAATAAATCCTCAGGTAAATGAAGCTTTTATTTCACTTGCAGGTATGCCAGTGCTCAGATTCGTACTTCCTGTCCAAGGTCAGGGTCTTCTTCTGCCAATTTATGTGTAAGGGCCAGTGATTCTGATGCTGCAAAATCTCACACAAATTCAAGTTCCAATCATGGGAATAAAATTCCTTTCCCTCTTATAGAGAGATTAATATCTCCAAATCAAAATGGAGATGAAACTTTAATTTGCTGCCATCTGTCATCTTCTAGCAAAAGGGAGGATGGAGAACCTTCATCATCTGTTACTTTAAGAGAAGATACCTGTGTTGGTCATTCTTCTACTGAGAAGACAGTATTCTCTCATCCCCAACTTGGATTCATTCCACTTCCTATTCCTGTTGGGACAACGCCTTTTCATAATTTATGTGCTGGCTATGGCACCATATTTCAACCAGTTTTCTACCCAGAAACTTCTACACCTTTATGTGGCTCATCTGAAGTTGGGAAAGATGTATTGCATCCATCCAACCCATATTCTCAAGACAGTCATATTGTTAATGATCTCAAGCATGATGGTTCACATGACTGTGTGGAGAAACCCCATCCCCATCGGTTGAAGCATCCAATGGAGGAAAGCAGAGACAATAACAAATCCATATATCCAAGAAAAATGCTGCCAACTCCTACCGATATTGCCAATCAACTTGCTAACTGTAGCCATGGTATTACTGATGCTAATGGAAGCAATGACAGTAATAGGTACACTGTCAGTACAGGAGCTGCTGTAGAAAATGGAAATGAAGACGGTTCCATTAACTTCAATCGGAAGGTAGAGCATGACCATTCTCGACGTGAGGCTGCATTAACCAGATTCCATTTGAAACGAAAAGACAGATGCTTTGAGAAAAAGGTAACAAATGCTAGATACATTCTTATTTGTGTTCTCCATATTTTTTGACAGCTGTTATTTTCTTTTCTAGACAGAAAGGACCTCTTTTTTTCTCATTTAATAAAAGGCTTGTCTCTTCCCTTTTTTTGGTTCTTTTTCCTCCTAAACACAACATACTATGGTAAAAAGTGTTATTCATGTTGATTGAACAGTGGTCCCACCAATCAAGAATTATTTGAATATGATTTATATGCCTTGCCAATTCTTTAATGTGATGAAAAGTTCATCCTGTCTTGCAACTGAATCTGAACTTTATTTCAGGTTAGGTATCATAGTAGGCAAAAGCTTGCAGAACAACGCCCACGATTGAAAGGGCAATTTGTGCGTCAATCAGTTGCTGAATCAACGATGATGGCTGCACAACCAGACAATTGAGAAGAGCTATTTAACCTATTTTTAATACTGTAAAAGCTTTATATCCATGAGTAAAAGGTATGGGGTGAGGTCTTTCTAACTTTGTAGGTTGAGCTAGTGCATTTTCCCCCTTTTCTTCATTATGGCTGCTGAATCCAGTAGCTATTACAAGATACTCTAAAATGGTGGGGCATAAATCCCAATATATAATTGATGTATTTATATTGAATATTTCCACATGATCAATTAAACATTGTTTCCAAAAGGAAGTTTTGAGGTTTGTATCATCCTTCTGGTCCTAAGCAACAAGCAGGGTTTTAAAAAACATTTGAAGTTTATGTCTGAAGGAAAATCCTAAGAAAAATGCCCTGAATCAAATGGAAGCTCATGCCTAAAGTATAGTATACGTTCATCACACTTTCAGGTGCCCTTATATCGAGAATATGTTATTTCATATATAGTTGAAGTGGGATTATCATCACAGGTAGTTAAGAGCACCTCTAAGATTCCTGGGTTTCTGTTTTCATTTACGTTAAAAGCTTTCAAATAGTTTGTGTAACAACTTGTAAGAAAGCCGTACTTCTTTGTAATCATTGATTATATGATGAGTAATTAATTAAACTAATCTCATATAGAGGGAAGTGCCTTTATTTGCAGAGCTATACACTTCTCATATTAGTTCGCATTTGTTTCGGAAGTAATGAAATATCAATGGGCTTAAGCCTCCTGTTTGATGTTTGCACCTCATGCATGATTGCGTCATGCCAGTGAACGTTGGTTTCAAGACATGGTCGCACAGGTCCTTTGTGCTAGATAACCTCTTCCCGTTTCAGCCACGGCAGGAAGATGTGAACATCTGAACCACTGATCAGAGAGGGGCCTCTCGATTGGCTGTGTTCCAGTGTCCTGTCTGTGTCTTTTATGTGCAACATCTTGTACTGGAGTCTTCTACTTAACCTGCTGCCGAAGTTTCACATTTTTGGCATAAACATGGTATGCAAAAAGGGGATTTATTTTTCCATGTTGTGGAGGCTGATGAACTGAATCACACCACATGAATAGAGGCTATTGGGGCCAACCCTTGGAGCCCTTTCTTGGGTAGCTAACCTGAGTTGCCACATGGGGGACTCTGTCATACAACTCATTTGGCAAATTTGCCGCCTCAATAATATCGTATGAACAAAAGAACTATTTCAGAAATCAAAAACCTATAATATGGACCTAATCATACAGACCTGCAGGTGTTTCAGGTCCACTAGAGTTTGTAGGAAATTGACACATGTATTTATGTTAAATCATTCATGAGAAGCATTTGCAGGACAGGATTTACTTGGCATTTGGTATTATCATGTTTGGAATCAAAACACCATAGTTCTAAACTTGGTAGAGTCAGAAGCTAATGCAACTCTTTTGTCTTTGCTCATGTATGAATCCCTAGCCGGGCATGTGTGCCTCAGTGCCTAGATTGTTGGTGCAGATTCTGAACAAGTTCAACACTCCTCCAAAAAAAGCTAAAACGTGAGTAATCATCATACTTCATTGGTTGAGGTGGAGATCTTGCCTCCTATTGCTTGAAGGAAAAAGGTATGTTAAAGACTAAACATTCCTCTCTTTTTTTGCCTTAATTCCTTGGTCTACATTACAAAGCCTGAGAAGGTTCTTTCATACTTTATTTTGGTAATCAGTTAAACTGTGTTACAGTAGTAGGGGTAGTTGGTTAGTGGGGTACAGGGGTAGGGGCAGAACAGGGTGTACCTGAGGTCCACTGGCTATACAAGAGAGAGCTTAGGCCCATTTGGCTTGTGTAATCCCTTGCTATGGGAGTGATGCCTTGCATGGTGACTATCTGAACTAGTGGATCATTTGCTCTTTCTCATATTTTGGGGCAAACCAATTTCTCAACAAGGAACGACCAACAGACACCCACCGATACATACACTGCTATGGAGGCTTTGACCAACAATATCTCCTTTTTAGCAAGATCTGGGCTGTAGGTGATGGGAATTCTTAAAGTCGTCTATTCATTACAGTTGGGCAGTTGCATGTTCCAAGGGTTGTTTAGATGATTCCTTGCTATAAAAGCTAATTCATATTTCATTTGCTTTCCTTAAAAAAGATTAGCTATTCTGATTATTGCATAGAAAAGAGATTCTGATATTGCTTTATTTTTTTATTTTTTGGTATTTGGTAGCAAGTTGAAGAGCAATCCGCCAACAAACCATCCACAGCCTTGCATTACCCATTTACATATCTCGTATATGGATCAAACCCGCATCCAAGCCACCCACTCACCCCAGAGAGATGCACCTGGTTGTCTGGTAAGTAGTATGTGAAGTTCGTGCACTTGTGGGCGTTTTACAACATGAATTGTTTTTCTTGTTGCCGGTTCAAAAAAACAAATCTTGTTTGAAAATAGATTGTTTCTTAAAACAAAAACACAAGAAACATGTTCTTCCTTGTGTACATGTTTTTTGTTTTTAAAACTGAAACTAAAAACATGTTCTTGAATTTGGTTTCAAAAGCATGTTTTCCTCTAATTATTAAACATTAGGTTTTAGAAATCATATAATTTATATACTAGAAGATGTGTTTTTTGTTTTAAAAACCAATAGTTTGTTGTTTTCAAAAACACGTATTATTTTTCAAAACAAAACCAACTTATTTTTCACTTGGAGAACAAAAGCAGAATTCAAGAACATGTTTTTATATTTTAGTGGTAATTCCAAAAACAAATGAAAACAAAAACAATCATATTCTAGAACGCCCCTTAAATTTTGAAGTTGGTCCAGTAGGGGGCACCATTTACCCAGTAGCTAACCCATTTCCAGTCCACTACGTGAAACGCGTGGGTTAAACAGGCTGCTAATAAATTGGCATCCATAATTCTTTTTGGGTAAATTACAGATAGTTCCTTTACTTTGGGGGGGTAGTGGCACTGAAGGACCCGAAATTTCAAGTACAACGTTTCTTTAGTATCTTTGAACTATGGTAAATTTACATTCAAGTCCAATTCTGTTAGACTGATGGAAGGGCGAAGGCAAGATTACAAAAATACCCTTGTTTAAATTATACTTTTTCACTATTCATTTTCTTCTACCTTCGGACTCTCGAGCAAACTAGCAGTTGACACCTCTCTCTCTCTCTCTCTCTTCCTCTACCGCTGCAATAAACCCAAATCGAGCATCCACTGCAACTAATCTCATTCTTTTCTCTGGATCAACAAATACAGTACAAATCATCAAACTTAAAAGGAAAAATCAGGGAGAGACCCTGCCAAGCAACACCTGAATGGAATCAATAGTATTTATTTCTGCCCACCAATATATCGTAATTGTACCCAAAAGTATTACAAATAAACAGGAAAATATGATCTGCACTTGTAGTAACTATTCAGATCTTTAACTATTTAGATCTCTCTTGTTTAATAGCCGATGAATGAGCATCAATGCCTGAAGTGCCATTTTCTTGTGTTTGTTCTAGCTGCCTCGAAACCGTAGTAAGACAGGCATTTGCGTACCCTATCGAGTCCCGAATAATACGTCAGAGTCAATATCTCTCTGTTGTAAATTTGTAATTAACATTGGTACTTGGTTATTGATGATGCACAATCCGGCCGATCTTAGCTGTCAACGATCTTGCCTCTGAATTGAGTGGCAGGGACCTGAAACGGAAGGAGAAGAGAAGCTCCGGGGAGAATCCAACGTAAGGGCTCTGAAGCTCAAGTTAGAGTCTTTCAAAGGCAAGATAGACCAGATTGTGCATCATAAATTGGCGCCGTCTGTGGGAACGCTTCAAAAGGCCTCCCTCCAAAACTTTCACATCCCTTTCTTCTTCTTTGAAAAACTCAATACTCATGGCCTCCTCCAGCAACGCCGGATGCGGCACAGAGACAAACACCACCGGGGAACAGCCTCAAGTTCCCGTGGTGTGTGTTGGACAGTTCACCATCCCCCTCTCGGTGGACGGAATTCCCAATCTGAATACGCCACAAGCAGTGGTGCTTGCAAACCTACCTGCCACAAACATCCCCTTTCCTCTCCCCATTGAAACTACCCTCACTGAACCAACCGCCATCCCCCTAGCAGCTAGCCAAAATCGATTGGACGACCTAATGTAGTGCATGCGGGCAATGCAAGCCCAGATGCAACAATTCCAGCAACACCAGCTTTACCAGCACCAAGTGTTGCACAACCTCTCCCAATATCACTATCAACAGCAGTTCCCCCAACTGTCACCGAACCAACCATTACTTCCACCTCGCCACCCTGCTCCGAAGCCGGTCAAGGCCTCTCCGCAGGATGGACGCTTCCACCAAGGAAAGACCTTCAGGCCCCAGATCCCCCCAAACAGCCAAGCCTCGTCCCCAGGCCGGAGAGAGAGAAAAGTCATCCCCGCCTCGCAGCTCGCAGGCGGGTC